CTCCGCTCCCCACCCCCGCCACCCCTTCCCCGAAGTTTCCTGCCCGGCCGGGGCCACGGTCCGTGGGGTGAGGCGGACGACCCGCCGCCTCCGAGCCGCGGCAACGGGGTAGGCCCGGGGGGGGGTTGTCCCCGGTGGGAGCTCCCCCCTCCCCGTGTTGCTGCCAGCCTGGGCTGGGTTCGCAGGCCCCCGGCTGTCCCACGGGAGACCCGCTGCGGCGTGTCGGGGTCGTTGCGTGGGGTCCCCCCGGGTGACACGCGGATGGGGTGCGGTTTGAGAGGCAGGCGAGCGGGCAACGGGAGAACTTGCCGGAAGAGTCTTGCCCTGGTGACGTGTTCGTGGTGGAAGAGCCACGGGTGCCCGGCGTGAGGTGACAGGGAGGTGCAGCCCTGCCGTGGGACCAGGGAGGGCCAGGACCACGGCAAGGCCACCATGATCGTCGGGGAGTTGGGGTCCGGGCAAGAAGTTGCTGACTTTTAACTCTGGCTTTGGGGTAGTTGCTTGATGCCTCTTGCCCATCTCCACGAGGGAACGTGTCGGCTGCCAAAATGTGCTGCCCGCAGCAGCTGTCGCGGAGCGGCTGCCCTGCGCCCGCTGCCCTGATCTGTGCTGGTGCTCCAATCTGTTCGGTGACATTCGGCCGCGTCTGTCGCTGACAGCAACTCTCCTGCTGGGCACCAGGATTCTGAGCTGGTTTTTTTTCAACTGAAATTTAGAATTAGGGTTGAGCTCAGGTGTGGGCCCAGCACATGCTGTTATCCCATTCTCTAGGATGTCATATTTGAAAGGGGGAGCATCTGTTGTGACTATTTACAGGTGTTAGCTTTGTGTTTCACTTAATTCATGTGAAAGAGGAGGCAGTGAGGACTGTGCAGCCACTCTGCAAATTTTGTTTAACTGAGGCAAATGCCCGCAGAACCGCTCGCTTTCCAAGACCTCGCAGCACCCGTGAAAAAGGCTGGATACTGAAGTGCTCAAGTGCTGACCTTTTGAAATGGAGGCCCCTGTACCCAGTTCCAGCCTAGCTGGGGGCAAAGTGATGGGAGGGTCTGGTTCCTTTTCTCACCCTCTCAGCCAGGACTAGAGCAGGATTTAACCAGTGGTGCCCCAAATGGAGCTGAGGGACTGCTGAGGAGTCAATTCCAGGGCGTCTTGGACTCCATGGTGCTGAGGGCATGCGCAAGACTTCAAATATTGGCTCAGCACGCTCTGCACAGAGAATTAGTGCTCCTGTTTCCTGACCCTTGTGTCAGCTGGGGGCAATAACTGCTTGTGTGTGTTTCTTGGGCATTGTAAGTCTTTGGGCGCTATTTGCACAGGCTAACTCTTTCTCCAGTAACCTTGTGGTGTTCAGTCATTTCTTCCTCTGTTGATCATGTGCAGTTTTGCAAGGGGAGGGAGAGGTGATAAGCATTCGCAAGCTGTCACTAGCTAGGATAGTGACTTTAAACCTTTTCACTTCCCCAGCAGAAACGTCTGGTGACCTGTACTCTTTTTATTTCTGATAACTTTTCAGCTGTATCCTCGGAAGTGTTATTAGTGTTTCTAGGCTTGAATTTAGTTGCTGTTGCAATGTCTTGATAGATTGTGTATCTTCTGAGCACCTTCCTATGTCAGAAAATGGCTTTCAGCTCTTCTGCTGTAACTGTTTCCACTACAGTTCTGTAGCAGCTACAGCTTTACCCTGTCAACAGGACAAATCCACAGCACCTCTGGGTGCTAGCCACACGTTACACCATTTCCACTCTTCGGTTTTCTTGCCTTGTCCTTTTGCAATGTTTTTTCAGTAATGTGAAAGAATAATATTTGCCCATCATTGTGTACAACTTTATATTGCCTTGCTGAAAGATGTTAAGTATTAATATTGGTTTTGGGTGAAAATTGGGCTGCTGGCACAGAACTGTATGAGTGAAACTTTGGACACTGTCGTAATGGTTTGGAAACGGTCTTTTTTCTTTTTTTTTTTTCAGCAGAGAAGGTACAAGCTCTGCTGCAGGACTGAGGGACAAAAGAGACTAAGGGAAACATGAACAAGAGAGCATCCTCACGGAGAGGAAGAGGCCAGGCTGTGCTGTAGTAATTTGATGTTTATGTGTGTTGTTAGTGTTGTAATGGTCTGGCTGACTTCTTTTAGAAAAAGAAAACAATCCATCCGTGTTAAAACTTTACTGGAGCTGGAACTAAGTGAAGGTTTTATAGTTTGTGTCTTGTGGCTGATTGACTGAAACTCTACACTGGGGTGTTTTAGAAGAGCTTTGTCATATGTATTTCATCTGGTGTCTAGCAGGATATGAGCCTTGTGTTTTCTGTCTTCTACCTGGTCACCTTTTTCCCATAGGACTTGTAGGATCTCAGTTATTTCTGATATGAGCTGCCAGATTTGAGTCTGCTTGGCTGACTTCAGCTGAAGGCAGTGAGGTGTACTCCATCAGCTTGTTTCCATAGGAAGTACAGATTAGTACAAGTTCTTAAGCCTCACTGCATCGGAGTTGTCTCACTTGGTGCGTCTCATGCACATGGACCTGTGGTCCACAGAGGTCGCAAGCAAAGCAAGGTTTTGCTGTGCTCTATGAACACAGCTCCCAAATGTATTCCTACTCTGATATTGCCAGGCTGCATGGCACTTGGACAGCGTCAATAAACACAGGTTTTGATATCTTAGATTGTCAGATAAGTGCATTACTGATGACGCAGGCAACAAAAATGCTTTGTTTCCTGACAGCGTCATTTTGAGATTTACAACTTGTCTGGGAGGTCTGCTGAACTCAAACGATGTTAACATTTTCAATGAATGTGCAGGTATAAAAGCTTGGTAAAGTGACACTTAAGCAAAAGTATGTGTATGGTGGCCTCTCAGAAAGCCAGCTCTTGGCTTTTTTTTTTTTTTCAGATGTGTGGAGGTTTCCAACCATTGACTGCAGTGGGTGTGGAATAAGCCAGTTTCCTGTGAGACATGTTTTGGATCAAATGTGTGGGTCCCCTGGTCTCAAACTACGCTTCCCCTGGCTATACAAAATCCAGAGATGGCCTCTGTTGAGGATAGCACTTTTCTTCTTGGAATTCAGCCCTGAAGGCAGCAAATAACTAAAGAGCAAAAAAAGCTGTGAAAGATGCTACAGTGGGATGTAGCTAGAAAATAATTGGGAGGCTTTAAGAATACCATAATGAGTTTTCCCTTGACTCTTACTCTCATGGTGGGATTTCGTAAGCTCTGAAACAACCTCTCTAGGAGAGTAATCAGCTTACAGAGATGCTATTGTTTTATTATTGCCCTGTCTTACTCTTTTTCTATCTGATACAAGATCTGTCCTTCTTCCCCTCCTTCCTGCTCCCTTCCAAACAGGACCTTTGCGCACACTAGTCCAAGCCCCTGTGTTACTGATGCCAGAAGGATCTTGACCTTCCCAGAGGCATCCTGACCCGTGAGCCCTGGCAGGCCTTGCCACAGCAATTTGAGGGGAGGCAGCAATGAGCTGTGTCTGCCTTTGCTGCTTCTGTTCAATGGCTTTGCTTGCTAGTGGGCTTGTTGAGCCACAGTGCTGGCAAAGTAACAGCAGTTTTGAAAACTGAAAGGATGTTGGGATTGTTTAGCTTAACTGGCTGCTTCTCCCCCTGCCCCATCAGTTGAGGTAGGTGGTGGAGCATGTTACCTGCCTCAGATCCCTTGAATCCTGGGGGAGACTCCACGTTACCATGAGCCTGGAGTTGCAGGGACAGAAGGCTTGAAGACCTGGTTAGCTGTGGTTACAGCACAGCTAGAACTGTTGCATTCCCCTCAGCATCCCAGCTAGAGAGTGCTGAAACACACTGTTACTGTTGGTATTAGTGTTTCACTCTTCTAAAACAAACAAGAAAACCTAAACCTTCAGTCACAGTAATTGTCCTAAATATAATGGAGTAGTTTCTGGTGAACAGAAACTGTCCTGTGGTTCTACTTAAGCTAGATGAACCCTTATCTCTGTGTCAAGTATTTTCTCTCTGAAAGTAATCGCACTCTTCAAATAGGTTAAAAGAACTTATTTCCTTCAAAAGGAAGGAAACCTCTAAACCACCTTGCACAGTGGAAGTGGGGGTGATTGAAATAGCTTAGGCCAACAGTGCTAATTTGAGCATGAGCGCAGTGCTTTAAAGAGAAGATCTTCTGGATTGGGGACAGCCCTTTGTATGGCATATAGCATAGCAGTGCTGAACAAAGCCTGGGCTGTATAGGGGCTATAATAATGGGAACGCTGACAAGGCTGGTCTGTGGCTATAGCTGAGCTGTGGGAAATAATATGAGGGGCAGTGGTGCTGTCGGAAGTGTGCTGCCATGTACTGTAACTAAAAAGTTGGTAGACATCTCGGTGAAGTGATGTCCCAAACCGCCTGGGTGGCAGAGGTGCCAGTACATCCCTTCCACCTGCAGCCCCTTACTGGGGTGCAAGTCGGAGAGGGCTCCTCTTCCTTCCCTGGCCCGTGGAGCAGCTGTACGTGCTGGCAGGGGCTCACTTGGCAGCACATGTGTGGAGGAAAACAACATTTTTCACTGGTGTATGGTGAAGGGAAAGGAAAAGAGTGAGGTGAGAGGCAGCGGTTGTGGAAGGGATCAGTTGCCTTTTTAGCACAGACTATAGCTGAGAGGAGAGAGACTGTCAGCAGCACTGACAGAGTGGGAGGGTCTGGAGGGAAGGTATGGGTTCCCTCTTAGATCATTAAGAGCCTCTAGATATCTATCTGCCCTCAGTGTCTAGCTTGCAAAACTTCAGAAATGACTCAATATTTTTCTCCCCTCTTCTCGACAAGTGATGCGATTCTCAGCACCCCCTTCCAAGAGTCACAAGCTTCCGAGTCCTTTCTTCCACTTGCTGTACAACAGTTGTGTGTGTGTCTGTTACTGATGCTTTAAGCCGGAGTTAAGCTGCAGTCCTGTGTGAAGAAAGCATTAATATTTGAGTGTGTTTTAAGATTCTCAGATGGGCCCTCGTAGGCAAAGAGACATTAATTTCTTTACAGTTGGTCCTCATGTTCAGCTTCTCAGGAGTTTGATTTGGAGTAAGATAGCAGCTGTCTGCCACTTGGATCTTTCTAACAAGCTCTCACGCAGTGCAGAATTTTCCTTTCTAATTGCAGTATGTGGTTCAGTATGACAAGTCTGAACACTTTCCTTCTTGTCTCTGCAGCTGCTGAAAAGTCTGAAGAGGCTGTCTGAGTTGCCCATCACAGTTGACATTCTTGTGGTAAGAGCTGTGAAATCTCTCACACTTTCATCGTGTCTGTCAAGTCACTGGATAACTGTTTGCCATGGAAATGCTGTTTTCCTTGGAACAGGGTGTGTTGTCTCAGCCACCTGCAACAGCCCGGTATCACAGGCGTGATTGTGATAAGGTTCTAGAGATTCTGTGAGTGTGTCAGAGCAAGTGTGAAGCCATGGAGGACAGTTTGTCATTCTTGGTTCTTCCAAAAGCTTAACACTTGACTGGAATATGAGAGGTGGAGCAGTTCCTAACAATAACTGAATCAGCATGAAATTAGGAAGTGCTAATCCTTAAAATTGTTAGTGTCTTCTGTCTTCAAGCTTACTAACAGTCATGGTAAATACTAACTTGGTTTATTAATACAAATAATTAGTGTTTGACGAAGGTAGAATTAAGTTGTCTTTGATTTACAGAACTGTAGTAAAAGATACAATGTGTGCTGAAAACATAATATATGTGATATCTTTGCTGTTAGATCAGGGAAGTTTATTTCTGCCTAGCAGCCATAGGTAGCAGGTTAACTTTATTCACTTTGTAGGAAATTTAGCAGAGGTGAGAATGCTGACTATTTTGCTAAGATGAATTCATGTCTTGGCTCTCTCATGAAGGAGACAGGTGTTGGGAAGACTGTGAACAGTTTACGGAAGCACGAGTTTGTAGGAGACTTTGCGAAGAACCTTGTAGCCAGGTGGAAGAAGCTAGTGCCAGTATCCCAAGAGGCAGACAGGTAAGTGAACCTGTTTGGTTATCTTGATGGATAAGCTTTGTTATATTTTTGCAGTGGAGATTATGAACTTCTCTGACCAAGGAAACAAAGTGAAGGCTCTGGAAAAACTTTTAATACAAGTGTGCTAACTCTGCATGGGGTTTTTGCCTTGTTTTGGCATAAATTTCCTGCCTCTGCTAGCCACAGAGCATTGGGTTGCTGATGGCTGCAGTTTTGTGTGAAAGCAGGGGCCAATTTTCAAGAATTTGCAATTTGATGAAGAGATTAACAGTAGATGCCAGAAAAGCGCCCTTCACAAAGCAAGAGATGCAATCTGCTTGCTTCCCATTTTATGATGCTGAAGAGAGGATGTTCTAGGCACAAGTAAAGGAAGTGGCTTGCTTTGAAAGAAGGCTTTTATGTGCAAAAATCCTATGGAAACTGAAAGTTAATGCTAGCAAGCATGTTGCAATAACAAAGCTGTGTTGAACCCGGCAATGAGATAGTTTAGATGTGGGTGGTAAAGACCCAGTTATTCATGATAATTTCAATGGCTGTGGTATCCCTGCATGCTTAACTGGCAAACTGGGGGACATGTTTCCCATAGGCACCACACAGCCAGGAGTGTGTACATATGGGGAAGTCTCTGTATGCATCTGTCTCTGCTTCCCAGTGAACTGTGAAGTCTCTAGTCCTAATAAAAATGCTTAATCAATTCCTGCACTAGAAATGCAGTTTCTAAATCCCTGAATGTTGCTGTGCCTGAGAGAATTAGTGGTATTCTTGGCACAAAACTAACAAATACAACCCTAGTCTTCAAGAAAGGTTCCCGTCCACATGGTCCATGGGGAGTGGCTCTTTTCATTCATATTGGCAAGTTTTAATCTAACTATTTTGTTTTCTTATCCCTTCAGAAATAACCTAGATTCTGAAGACCGTGACTATGAGAGGAGCAGCTCAAGCAAAAGGCATCAAGAACCCTCCCTCAGAGAGGATGAAGAACCTGACCAGGAGTATTCAGAACCCTTCCAGCCATCTTGCAGCCAGTCCTATAGCCCAGATCACAGGGAAAAGAAGTCCAAAAGGTATCCTAGGCCTGAGAGAGCCCATGAGACTTACGGCTATAGTAGCCACGAGGGGAAGGGTTGGGGCAGATCTTCCCCAGTGCTCTCTTCAGATCAGGAGTACTCGGACTATGGACAAGCTGTGTCACCTGAGCCAAGTGAGAGCCCTCAGGATATGTACACAGACCCTTATGCCTCTGAGGAGCAGGAAGAACCAACAGTATTTCATCGGAAAGCCAGTAAAGGCCACAGCTTTCAGGAGAAGTTGGGGGGAGGCCGGGAGAGGAACCCTGGTGAGTTCTGCAACAAAGGGAACATGAGTCGAAGCAAAGAGCACAAGTCTTCTCACAAGAAGCAGCGACTTGATGGCAGAGGGGAAGACAGGACCTCTGCCTTCAGCCCAGAAAGATTGCACAAGACCTCTTTTAAAGAGCAACTCCAAGAAGCCCCCATGGCAGGGAGCAGCAAGGAGAAGCAGAGGATGTCAGATGGTACCAAGAAGGAGAAGAACCGAGAAAGCAGTGCCTCCAGAAAGGAGAAGTTGCACATGTTGCCACATTTGGAAGTGTCTTTGGACAACCATGTTAAGAAGCAAAAACATCGGGACTCTGAAAAAAGCAAATTGGAAAAGCCCAAGCTGAGCCTGGAGACCTCTAATACAGAGCAGGAGAAACGGAAAGCTGAGAGTGACTCGTCAAATAGGATTAAAGAAAAGGGGATTTCTGGGAGCTTAAAATCTTCAGAGGGGAAGCGCAAAGTCTCCGATGTGGACAAAAAATCAACAGGCTTTTCCTCAAATTTTGGGGAGGGGGAAGCAGAGGATGAATTTGAACAACCTACAATGTCCTTTGAGTCATATCTCAGCTACGACCAGCCCCAGAAAAAGAAAAAGAAAGCAGCCAAACCCTCTGCATCAGCTGGGGAGAAAGACCAAGGGCACAGCAAACAGAATGGATCCAAAGCCAGTACCAACAGCTCAAGCTCAAGTCGGAAAAGTCCAAGCCACAAGCGAACAAGTGAGAAAAAGGCAGAGAAGAAACTACCAGAGCCTCCTCAACCAAAGAGGGTAAGGTTTGAAGGATCTGAGAGTGAACAAAGAAGGTGGGATCAGCTGCTTTCAGTCCTGCCATCTGGGGCTTAATAGTTTTCCCCTTGGAGGTGCTGGGCTGTGTTCTGCATCAGGGTGTGCTTGCGGTGTCTCACTGGTATCTAGGTCTGTGACTCTTGGTTCATGCTGGGAGACACTGTGTTTCATATGCCGTGTGCTGCAGGCATTGCTTCGTCCTGTTAGAGTGGAAGTCTGCTGGAAAAGTGGGTGAAGAGGGAGGGTAAAAAAGAAATGCAATAGGTAAAACCCTGTTTATTCAAAAATGGAGAGAGTAAAAGAGAACACCTTCAGCTAAATACTCATGAAAGCATATTGGACATGATACACTTGTTAAGCATGCAGACTATCTCTAGATACGAGCCAATGTAGAATGGAGCCTAATATGCAGTGCACCTCCACCTGCTAGCAAGGTTCCCATGTCTCTCCTCTCAAGTATTTATGCTTCTCTAAAATGGACCTTTTTTTTATCTGTGTCAGTACTACAGTTTTGTTAACTAAATCTGTTGGTCTCGAGAAATGGGAGAGCTGGTGGTACCATGCAGCTTATTCTAGATGACAGATCTTCTCTCATGAAAGCTTGAAAAATGAGCAATATTTCTGTAGGTGTTCATTGCAACCTGGGTGCCAGGGTTTTGTATATAGATAGGGACTAATGTGCAAAACCTTTACTCCTTAATCTTTTTACTCAACTTTGAAATGCTTTGCTCTTCAAAAAGTGTTTTTATAATCTTAGCAGCATTTTAAAATTCTGCCGTGCTATTCATTCTAATAAGTGCCTCATATCAGTTTTAGGTTTTCCTCAGTTTGTGAGGTTCCCCTCTCCTCTACCACTGCAGAGTTTTTTTTGCAGGAGGGAGGAAGAAGAGACAGAATGGGTAAATGAGTGTTTGAGATCAAGGAAATGTTTCTGCCAGCTTTCTCTTCTGTTTTTTGTGTAGTTCTTTGCATTGTTAATCTGACTTGGGTTCTTGCCAGAGGCCTTCAGCACTGAACCTAGTAGGTTAAAGATGTGGATGGCTCTTGTTGGAGGGAGCTGAGTGATTCAGATCCCAAATTTTGGCTTCTTTGTATTAACAGCCTAGGCAGAGCCACAGTAATGTGGCAGAAGTGCAGCCTCCCCCGAGGCTATTTCCTGGTGCAAGCTGGTAAGTATTGAGTGACTTACTCAAAATATCAAACAAAGTGCAGTTCAGTGCTGTTTGTGTGCTGGCAGGATGTAACATTCTCCTGTATTCCTGGCTTACTTGCATGTACATCCTCCTTCCAGATACTTTTAGATGTGGTACCAACATTACCAGACATCCCACTGCCCCCGATCCAGGCCAATTACCGCCCTCTTCCTTCAATTGAGTCCATTACCTGCTCCCAGACAAAAAGGAAAGGTACGTTGGACAGGAAAACAGGTTTGAAATGGGCTGCAGCCATTGTTTGTGGGAGGGAGTGGATGCTGACTGGATTCCAGTCTTTCTGTTGGGGTCTGGTGTCCTGCCTCTGATGCCCAGAGCCTAGGTTTCAGAAAAAGGTAGCTGCTTTCCCACGTGCTGTAGCAGAAATGAGGAAGATCCTTTGCTGACCCTTTTTGAGGTTTGGGCTTTGGACTTGCCCTTCCTGTACTAGGTTGCAGGTCTCTTAGAGAAGACTTTACCTTCTAGGTTGCTTCTGGATGACTCCAATTTGTGTCTCCTGTGCCATTTATCAGGGTGGGCTATCCTTTTCTCTGTTCCCTTCTTACTCCAAGTCTTTCACTTTACAGCAGTCTCCTCACCAGTGGAAGAGAGCGAAGCGGGTTTTACAGGCCGCCGGTTGAATTCAAAGATGCAAGTGTATTCAGGCTCTAAAACTGCCTACCTCCCAAAGATGATGTCTCTGTATCAGCAATGTATCAGAGTCCTCAGTAACAACATTGACTGTAAGTACCTTTCCTCATCTGTCTTAGTCATGTTGCCATGCAGGTAGTACTGAAGTCTTGGTAAATTGTTTGTATATATCCTAGCAGCATCTGGCTTGGAACATGTGAACAGTTAGTTGCCCCTTGTCACAAGACAAGCTAACTAATATGGGACATCTCACTGAAAGCTCAGGTGCTGCAGTAATCAGACCCAGCATGCTTTCAGGGACTGCTAAAGCACTGGCAATAGTGGTAAACAGATCCTTGATCCTTCCGCAGGCACTTCTTGGAGTTATTGGTGCCTGATGACCCACTAGAGCTATTGCACCTATGATTCTTTTCTCCTTCCCCTTGCAATGTGTAGTGGCGTGCAGCACTGCTGGTTTTTCCACTGCATTTCAGGGCATCAAGCCCTTTCCTTGGCAAGGAAGGAGCAGGATAAATACTCTGTGCGTCTTGCTTCTCTCTAGCAATCTATGAAGTGGGTGGTGTCCCTTTCTCAGTGCTGGAGCCAGTATTGGAGAGATGCACCCCAGAACAGCTGTATCGCATCGAGGAATGTAATCACGTGAGTGCCTGGGCCTGGGGAAGGGGTAGTGATGTGGGAGTGATGTTCTGTACTCATCTGCAATAGCAGAATAGTAAAGAACAATGCTCTTTACAGTAAGAGGTGGCTTTTGCTAGTCCTGAGTTCCCGGATTTGCCGTCAGCCCATCTCTTGCTGCAAGTTGGCCCCTAAGCTGTCTTGTCCTCTGGTATTCCAGTGACACTGGCACTAGCTGGTGCTGAGGGCGAGGAGAGTAAAGGTGTTGGGAGGGATCCCAGCTTACACGTGGGTTTGTTTCAGGTCCTTGTTGAGGATACGGATCAACTGTGGCACAATCACTGTCTCCGAGACTTCAAGAATGAGAAGCCAGAAGAGTTTGAGTCCTGGCGGGAGATGTACCTTCGACTTCACGACGCACGAGAGCAGCGGCTGCTCATGTTAGCACGGAACATCGGCTCAGCTCATGCCAACAAACCCAAAGGTAAAGTAGGGCTGAATAATCAGAGAGGGGTCTGGGAATGCTGCCTAGGGGATATCTTTGTGTGGGGAAGATCTTTTGGAATGACTGGTTTAAATCTAGTCCAATTTAGGAGTTGCTTAGCTCTGTTCTTTATGCAGTGGCCTTTGCTTAATGGCTTAGCAGGCTCTCGATTTCATCTATAGTGCTGCTGATGCAGACTAGACAGAGCAATATTTTACAGCAAGAACATGTAGGTCTGCAGAGGCACCTCCTGTTCCACAGTGGTTTCTACATGCTGGGGTTGAAGAAAACCAGGGTGGGGGGAAGCATTCCTGCTCTTTTGCTGAACATAATGAGAACTACTGACCTGATCAGTCTTGATTTCTCACAGCCCATATTGTGACTGCAAGAGGTTCAGATCTTAGGGAGGAGGCTATCACCAGAGCTTTGGAATGGATGGATGGACTGGGGAGATGTGGTTGGAGCTTGCTGTAATAAGACAAGCACTGAGGAGCCTCCTTTATAGTAAGTTGGATGTAAGCAATGTTTCCCTCTGGCCTCCTACAGGTAGAGTGGCCAAAATGGCGTTTGTGAACTCTGCAGCAAAGCCCCCTCGGGACGTACGAAGGAGACAAGAGAAGTTTGGAACTGGAGGACCTCTTCTGCCAGAGAAGACCAAGTGAGTGTTTCTCAGTAGCACTTGCTGTTTAGGGCCTCTTTTCCTGTGGGCTTCTGCCAGCTTCCCCCTGAAGTTCTGCATCCTGGCAGAAAAGGATACTGTGTGTCTGGGAGGTCCTTTTGCAGTGAAACTTGTAACTGAAATAGCTTCTTTCTTGCTGGGAAGCCTGGAGATCCTGGTCACTGCTGGTTCCATGTGGTATCAGCCAAGCTGCTGTTAACAAATGTGGCTTGTGTCTGAAGAATTGCATCAAACCACAGTGACTCCTTTACTGGAATGTCTTTCCCATCTCTGTTTCAGAATAAAACCAGTCCTGTACACATCTAGCAAAAGCCACGCTCGTGTGAGTGAGGAGCAGTCCTATGATGGGCCCAGCACCAGCAGTGCCCATTCTGTCCCATCTTCGGGTAGCACCTTCTCCTCCTATGACCCCAGGAAACCACCAGTGAAGAGTAAGTACAAACCACAGAACCTCCATGTGGTCTCCTAGAGCTCCTTCTTTACAAACGCACAAATCTGCTGCTTCTGCTGTAAGAGAAATCTAGGCTATGCAGGAGGGTTGATGTTGGCGGCCTCTCTCCTCTCCATAAGGAGAGGGTGATAAAGTCTGTTCAAACTTCTTGCACAAGAAAAAGCATAGGGAAACATCCAATTCACTTGCCTGCTCAGTGCTGACTGTATCAGGCTGTCCTAATGGTACTAGTGAGGCAGAAACCCTGCCTTACCCCTCCTGCTGTCCTTCTGTGTCTGTCCAGCTGTTTGGAATAATGAAATTGTAATGCAGCTCCCTGGAGAAGAAAGAAGGGAGAGTTTAACCAGAGAACTGTGTTCTTGTGGGGCAGAAAGCAGAGTGGGCTCTCCTTGGTCTGACGTGAAAATACAATAGCCTATGATCGGAGAGCACACACGCCTGCTGTGCATCTGTTTTGCCAGGGCTGCAGTTTTGAATTGCTCTCTGCTGTCCTAGTCTGTGACTGCTGCTTTAATGCACGGGTTTGGGTTTTTTTGGTTTTGATTTGGTGTTTTTTTTTTTTTCTTTCCCTGTTGCAGAAATTGCACCCATGATGGCAAAGACTATCAAAGCTTTCAAAAACAGGTTCTCTCGGAGATAAGTTTGCAGTGCAGGTCTGGGACTTTCCCTCTCGTGGGGGAGTGGCACTGAAGGGGGAGAAGGTACCCAAACAGCTCTTTTCTTTGAACTTTTTGGAGGCTGCAGCTGCTGGGAGAAGCTTTGATCTGCACAAGACAACAGCACAGTATTTTATCTTTTATTCTGGTCCTTTTCTCAGTGTCAAGTCCCCCTCTTTTTCCCCTGCCCTTAACATCCTGTTTCTAGTTTTGTCATCTGTCAAAAGAAGGGTGTACAGAATCTCCTGACGCAAGAAAATGTGAAGTCTTGGCACCTGCTGAGAGTGGAAAATCCAGAGACTATTAACTATTTAACCTTTTAATAAATTATAAAATGGTTTTAATTAATATTTTGCCCCTCTATCCTGCTGGTATTATTTATGTTGCTCCCAGTAGTCTTCCCCCCCTCCCAATCCAGTACACGGGCCAGCCCTCCTGTGACTAGAGCTGGCAGGAATCCATCTGTCTGAGTGGATACTGGGTGTCATGGGAGTCTTTCCTCGTGATCTGGTACCTGCTGGGCCCAAAGTCCCTCCTGGACTCTCTGGAACAGGTAGGACTGGTGGCCCATCTGCTCGTCGATCCTTTGGCAAGCGCATCAAGTCCTGAGGCTTTGCTCTCGTGTATGTTAATAAAATTTTAGCTCTCAACCTTCTCTCTGCTGTTACTGTAGATCTTGTACGGATGCTTACGTTGTTGTGCAGGGATGTCAGGAGCCATTGGGGACTTTTTCTCTGCTGCTGTTGTCTTCTGCTGGCTACTGGGAATAAAACTACGAGGGGTTTAGGGAGAAATTTTACTGTGCACCAAGTCAGATTTTAACTTTTTTTTTTTTTGAGAGAGAGAGAGAGAGAGACAGGGGACTTTGCCTCTGGAACTGAAAACAGTTTTTAAATATCAATGAAGGCATCAGTTTGCCTCTTTTAGTGGAAAGAAGGAATACTTTTATCTTGTTTTCTGTGTGGAATAGGGAAGGATTTATTTCTGTTCGGAAGCTGGTGGTTAAATCCTGTCTTTCCCCTGTATGTTTTGCTCTGCCCCCCTCTTTGGAAAAAGCAAGGATTTTAGTCTTTGAACTTGAAACCACTTGACTGGGGTTGGAGGGAAGTGAATAACTGAATGTAGTTTGTTTCTAATGTGTGCATACATCATAGCAGGAGTTCAAAAGCTCAGTTGTACTTGGTGTCTGAGGAACTGGAGCTCTGGAAGGAAAAGGTGTGTGACGTGACCCGGCGGACCTAGGGGTTGGCGGAAGTGTGAGGAAGTGCCCTGGAGCACAGCTCCTCTGGGGAGGTCGGGAGCCTGAGTGATGCATGAGGTGATTTCAGGTGGACTTGCTGAGGTCGCTGCAGAGAGCAGGGAGCCGGACACAACTGGGCACTCACTATTAAATGTGAGGCCTTATTGTGGTGAACATTTCCGCTTGTGGGTTACGTCTGCCTTGAAAGTGAACTTACCCGGAGGTGGTGCAAGCAGAGGATGGAGTTGTTTAGACCCAGGTCATGTGGTGAGGGAGCCGGCCTCTCTGTTAGGGCTCAGAGGTCCGACTGGATCGGAAAGGGGGGAGATTCTCCTGTTCCAAGCCATATTTGCTGCCCTAGGACTAGGACGTTGCTGTCTAGGTGGAAAAGGTGCTGGTAGTGGATGCTGTTGTTGGTAGCTCTTGAGAAGCTCTGCTGCTGGCTTTCTGTGGCTGCCAAATCCTGAACTGGTGGAGTTGTCTGTGCGCACTGACCAGGGGAAACCTTGCTGTGAAGAGTCCTCCCTGGAGGGCTCTAGAAAAATCCCTGTATGCTTCTGGTTTCTGTTGATTTCTTTCTTTTTCTCCTTTTTTCTTTCTTTCTTTCTTTGAAACCATTCTGAACACCTGTCTCTTGTTTATGTTCTTTTCCTGTTTTGAAGGTCTTGGAAAAACGTTCTCAGACTCTCATGTGCTGTAAGTTTGTTACAGTCCCAGATGCTTTAATGTTACCGTGCAGCATTTCAGTGTGTGTTGTGCTGTAAAATAATGGCTCCTTACTCTTGCATTTTTGCTGTATTTAATTTTGCTGTATTTTTAATTAGATAACAATATATTATCTTCTGCTGACCGTTGTGCTACCATTTATTTCTCCTCTGTACTTGGGGTAGGGGCAGAGGGGAGGGAAGGGGAGCCTGGCATTGTGTTCAGGCCCCAGCGGAGCCTTGAGCAGAGGATCTGGGTGAGGCCCGAGAACAACCTTGGGCACTGCTAAAGTGCCACTTAATACTACAGCTAGATACTCGGATGTGGGTATTGCCCAAAGCGTTGCTGTTACGGGGTGATGTACCTTGCTTCTTGGAGCAGCCTCTTTGCTCTAGGCTTTGCCAGCTGTGTCTGTATTTTAGCTTAGCTGGATTGCAGGGGCGGGGGGGGACAGAGAGGATCAGATGGGATGCTGTGTCTGAACTGACTCTGCTCTGAGTGGGTCCCACTGGTCCTGGGATCGATGCCAACTGCTCTTGCTTCTCTCCCTTTTGCTCAGGCACTGAAACTGTGCAGATGGAAGAGGTGGGCACCAGTCCTCAGCAGGGAAGGCAGGAGGGTTACTGCCATGAGACACAAACTAAGCAAAGTCTAGGGTAAAAGTGCTTGCGTTGTTCCCAGTCTCTCGGTGCCCGGGGTGTTACACTTGTGCAATTTTTCTGTGCTTACACTACATGCGAAGGAACTGAGCAGAGCTGCCTCTTCCCCCTTCGCTGCCCCGCTGGTGGTGGGATGAGTAATGTGGGCAGGAGGGGGAGTGACTTTGACTTGCATTTGTATTTTGGTCCCCAACTGTGTATATACAATTTTCTATGTTCCTTTTTTTGTGGTAACTAAGATGAATATTTTAATTAGATAAGTTATATGAAAAGAGGAAAACCATGTCTCAATAAAAGCCAAACACTGGACGGCGTCTGCTTGTTCTTTTCTGTCTCTGAGCAACGACTGTTAAACACGCTATTAGCAAAAACTCGGTGGTCTCTATGGCCCTTAGGAGGGCTTCTGCTCGGGTATCGCAGCGCCAGCTGGGGAAGGGGGGGAGGGGATGCTCCCTTTCCCCCTCCTGGCCGAAACAAGCCCCAAGTCTAAACCGCAGCCGGCGCTGCTGGAAAGCAGCTTTCCTTCTCCCCCAGCGGCTGGCACTGCTGGTGCAACCCGGCCTTCCCCGGGGTCGGTCCGAGGTCCTGAGCCCCCCCCCGCCCCGTTTCCCGCTGCTGCTGCTGCTGCTGCTGCTGCTGGGTCCAGGGGGGGGAATTTGGGGGGGGGGGGCGGGGCGAGCACGTGCGGCGCCCAGCACCGCCCCCTGGGGCGGTG